TTTACTGTAGTTCGAGACTTTAAAGTGCATGCTTAAAACCTAAAAGACGACCAGCCATCGCAGCTCGGTGAGATGCGCGAGACCACCCAGCAGTGATAATGAGACCAAAACCGATCCAGAATTTGTCTTCATCTAAACTCACTGTGAACAGGTTTACATTATGAGACCCTAACCCCATCGTAAAACAAATGGAAGTTATCCTTACATTGGGTTCACTTTTAGATTGCTGATCTGTGCACAAAATGCCTTCGACGTGTTGCGCACTCTCCGTTGAGATCACAGTGCCAAGACCTCCACTGCTATTCAATCTCCTCATCCGTTGAAATTTTGAGTTCTGTTAGACCAAGGCAGTATGTGGTTCCGATCGGTTTCTTGCCATTTGAAAGTTCTCTCACCCTCACGTAGAAGGCTTACTATTTCGCCGACGTATTCACCCTCACTCTTACGGCAAGTACCTCCTATAACTCTGAGATCGTGCACTCATTTTCTGTGCGAGCCGTGCATACCACACAGATGGAGGTGGGGTATGCATAGCCGATCGAAGAGGGTACTTTCTAACAAGGTGTTGCTACATATCAGAGAGTGATGAGTTTATGAGGCAACTGAACTCCCTTAGACGCCTTTTTTTTGAAGCGCTAAATTCACAGAGATTATTCGCAGTACGGAGGGTTCACTAGCTTCCAATAAGGGACCACTTATTTTTCAAACCCATTAGCCGAGGAACTTTCTTAGAGTGATGTGGTTACTCTTTGGTCGAGCAACTTCGCGTGCCATTTTTAACGACCCCCTTGGCTAGTCTTCTCCAGCAACCCGAAATATGTTTCCTGAAACGACTCGTTGGCCTGAAAAGGATAAGCTGGCGATAATGGACAGAGATATTTTCGTCGCTGAATACGATGACGTTAGCCCGATGCTCGCCGGTTCATTCCTCATCTTTGATAAAAGGGGTACGCTGATTCGATTGTGGAGCACTGTAATCACTAATAATGGTATGTAAGGAACTGCGATCTACATATATGCGCTTTTAAGGACAAATGCGCTCGATCCAAACTTCATCTGCAGGAGTCAAGGAGGAAGGGTTCCAGAACGAGCGCTTCTATCCACCCCAAACAAGTTATCCTACTTTATATAAATCGCTAAGTGTGTCTGTCGGTGTGTCGGTGTGTCGGTGTGTCGGTGTGTCGGTG